ACATCGGTACTCTTTAAATATTACTGGCATATTTACATTCAGTTAAAACGAAAGCAGATTTACTAGGCAGTTTTCGAATTAGAGGCAGGAAGTAGGGATCTATTTTCAAACGTCTCCTAGTCATGGCACTACTGTTTAAAGTTGCAAAAGAGGTTTTTCTTGAGAAAAAACAGTAAAGCACTTAATTTCCTTATTAAAAAAAATGCTCAACTCCACGATGAATTAAAACACGAAAACGTATTTGAAAATGCAAAATAAAAATGTGTCGATGGTAAAATTGCCAAAAAGGCGTAAATCCACGTTTCTTCAAGGCTTTTTTCGTTTCCTTCCTAATCGCCCTACCATTATCCCTTTTCCTTTCCTAGCAATAGCAAAAGGAAGCTAGACCGTGCTGTAGGGAAAGGGGAGTAGTAGTGTACAGCAACATTTCTCTAAGAGAATTAAGTCTCCTTGAGGGATCAATTAATCAAACTACTTTATGGAGCGCTGGGGACAGAACAAGCGAGACCCCCCGCAAACCAAGCTGTGAGGGATACACCTATTAAAAAACTACATTTTTTAAAAATTGATCTTGTATTCGTATTTAGGCATGCGCAAACAAAGCTACGGAGTCTCAGCATTATTCTGGAGTGCTTGTTTCCATTTCCATATACGAGTTTAATGGGAAAACTACTGAAAGAGATAAATAAATTTTAACAGTTAAACAGTGAATCATTGAAAGTACTGGTACTGCTTCTATTTGGTTAGCCTTTTTTAGGCTTCAATAGTTGAAGCACTAAACTTAGTCTTAGGGGGGAGGACCTTTGGCTAATAACAACAATGAGAAAGGGAAAAATCTTTCCTGATTGTCTAGATGAATCACAGATTTGCGTTCCTTCCATTATTGTCTCTCACAGTAGGTTGACACCGTGACTAATTGGAAGTAGGATTATGGGTTTCTGGTGTAGGAAAGAGTTTTTAGTCAAGTGCGCATGACTTCAAGTCAATGCCAATGCAAACCTCGCACATATGGAGAGCAATTAGCAGGTAGTTAATCTCCACGCAAAATAGAAACGTCACAGAATAGTGGCTTTTAAAGTAAAAACTGATTACAATGTTTTAGGCAATAAGTTGTCCTATGATGATGATGATGGAAGTAGTGTGTATACAAGACTGTTTTCGATATTTTACATCACACAAACAACCTTTAGATGTCAGTTTTTGGGCAGTACTCGGGATTCAACATGTATATTGCAGACATCATGACAATTAACATTTTTGTGAGGAATTGCGTAATTCATGAAATTGCTTGAAACTTGTCGGTGCAACTTTTACTGGGCTTCTGAAGTGTTACAGATACGTGGGCGCCAATGTATCAATGTTTCGATGTTAAAACATGACAAATTCACCTTTAGGCAAAAGGAAAACTTGATCAAAAGTGGACTAAGGGGCCTAGGAATAGCCCGCCATAGTAGGGGAAGCTTAAAAATAACCTATTTATAATATTGTGAATAGAACGAGTGGTTGAGTGAAATACGGTTTACTAAGAGGGTGTGCTTTTGTTAAATAGGCACGCTAACCCTCGTAAATGGAAGATTAATAAAATGACGTTCTCACACATTGGGTTCTGGGTCCGTAAGCACATGTGGATTATTATTCTGGATTAAGAAGTGTGGTTACAATTACTACCTTTATGTTACTAATGTTGTTTATTCCTAGAGGAGGGGAGTCATCTCCTCCCTACATCCTCCCTATTCATCTCCACAACGAAATTTTAATAAAGGCATTTTCTCATACCGAGAGAGAAGCCCACATTTCTTGAATAAGGTCTGGGGGGGCAGGAGATTATTCACTGCCTTTTATCCACCTCCGGTGGGCAACGTGTGTGGTCTTTCGGTGCGTGAATTATGATAAATCGCGTACACAAAAAACGGAAGAGAAGGCATGAGAGAGAGCGAAAGGCTTGGGTTAGCGATGGGCAAAAACGAAATGCCTGAATTTGATTCCACGTTACGCTTCCTCTGCAGAAAAACTGCTGTGGACTTATATTTCAGCTACAAGACGCGCAAAGCCACACATATACGTACACAAGGAGCATCTATCTAGATCATGTTGTTAGCCTGGTGCTGGTGGCATACGCGATCGTCCCGCCTGTCAACCCGCTTGCTTCCCTGCCCGCCGGCCCAACTTTCTACTACCTACTTGCCTACCGCAGACTATCGCGTCAAAGGAAAGCGTGATCACGGTGGAGGAGGCAAAAAGCCTACAACCGCGTGTTATCCGCTAGCAGTGGTAGCATTCTGTTTGAATTGTACACAGGTAAGCTGAAAAACGGAAGTGGCACGCTAATTGGCACACTGTTGGTAAAATAACTTCAGCAGCAAATTGAGGTGAAAGTGTACACTTTTGCTTTTTGGGGAGTTGCTTTGAAAAGAGGCATTGGTTAATTCATTGAGTGAGTATTTTTCTTCCTCTATTTACTATTTCTGTCCAATATGTTCACGATATTTTTTGGCTTGTTAAATGGGGACACTCCAGTGCCAAAATGCTCCCTTGCAAATTTTTTTCTGCTTGTAGCATTGTTTCTTTTACTTCAAAAAGTGAACTTATCCTCTGCATAATCTGCTAAATTGCGTGCTGGAGAGTTGAAGTGAATAACTTCACAGTACCATCTCGTGTAAATGGAAATTTATTTTCCCTGCGTCACATTTTCGAGGCTGTAAGCAGCCCCCTCATGGGTTTGGTGCTTCTTTTTCCTGAATTTTTAACTTATTATTCATTTTTTCTCAGGTGTTTTTGTTCGACATCTTAATGTTGAGAATGCGTGCAATCACTGATTCTAAAAGAGTATCTGGTTTGTCCGCAAATTTCAAAGAAGGTAAAAAATATCGTCTCGACTCCTGTTGAATTATAACGGGAATTCCGCATGTACAGCAGAAAAATGCAATGTCTTACGGCTTGAATTTAGCTTAAGAAGACAGGTTATATTAAATGTTATCACTTAAACCCTTTGCAAATTTTTAAACACGTTTTAGCTAAATAAAAAGCTTTGTTTAGTAAAAAGCAACAGATCATTAAAATATTACTCTTTGTAGACTTATTTTCTGCAGCAGAGTGAACGGATGTTGTTACGCTTCTCACCAGCCAGAACGGCTGTGTTGCGTGTGGTCAAACAGAATGGACCACTTCAGATAGAGGCCAAAAATTATGTAAATGTCGGCTTTTTATGGGTATCCTAGTTATCGCAGTAATTAAAGTTGATGGAAAGGAAAATCTGCTTCAAGGGTCGAAGGGCTTTTAAAACTCAAGCTAGCAGTAATTATGCGCCTTTTAGGTCACAGAGCTCAAGTTTTGGACACTTCGTACCTCGTGAAAGTGGCAGAGGAAACAAATTATTTCCTTAGAATAGACATATTGATTGCATTAAAACAGTTTTTAAGGTTATGCCCCCATAGATTGAGTCTCAAGGGTACGTACAAGGGGTTTTAACTAAAAAGTAATAAGAAATGCATTATATGTGTATATTCCGATGTTTCACAGAATCCAACGCAGGAGGCGCACCGGTTCTAGGTTTACTTTTAAAATTAACCCACCATGAGCACAAAATGTAAGTTATGGCGGCAGCATAAATATTCAAGCAAATGTTATGTGAGTGTTTCAAGATGCTTTAAAGGCAAGCAAAAACTTCCTGGTTCCCTTAAAAGTCGTCATGGTAAAACCTCAACAGAACTAATTTCTCAAGCACCTTCAAGGTGCTTAAAAGGGAAATGCAACGAATTTTTACCAAGTTTGGCATCGTTGACCACGATTTGGATGGTACTTTTTATGCATAACGTACTAGAAGCGTATCTTTAATAGAGCAATGCGTGAACCCTGAAAATTATATGTAGGAAGGCTTGTTGTTTTTAGTAGAAGGAGTTGAGGGGGAGTACCATTGAAGGTGAAAATAGCGCATCTTGGGCGTTTCGTCAGGATTTGAAGCAACTAACTTCTGACAATGGAACCTTAACTTCTACCAATGTGACAATTAACATCGACTACCCTCGCATGCTCAAGGCTGTTATAAGTAGAGGTGGGTAAAGTACTCTTCCTGTGCACACTGACGCCTCCGCAATTTAGCAATCACGAATTCTTATGACTAAAAGTAAAATGCTTTGTCATTTATTACGCCTCCATTAGAGGATTAAAACCAAATGGCAATGTCCTTTTCGCTGCATTGAATGCTCTTTCTGATGTAGTGGAGGCACGTATTTAATCTGATTCCTAATTCCCTTATATTGCGCCTCAACACAGGTTTTGTCGAAAAAAAGCCAATCACATTCGTGAACGAATTCGCAGTAATTAGGTATGTCATCTGATATAATTTTCGATCAGTACCTCTAAACACAAGTTATGGGAGTAAGCAGACCCTGAAACACAGCAATGATTGAACAGTCTGTCTATTATTATTTATGACTTATTCCACTTTGTTAAAATTTGTTTATAAATAATTTAGCAATTTTTCATATTCACCTTGTGTTAACCGTCCTTTTCGCCGATAGATGTGTTTGAAAGACACATACATTTATAGGATTTTGGGGTGTTTTAAACTTCACCGTATACTCCATTGATTTGGGCTAAGTGCCATCGAAATGGCCGGTTCCGTTTGGTGTGTCCGGGGCTGTTTATGCTTAGAGCATGATCAGCAGAGGCAGGTGCACAAAGTTATGACAGATCGTGTCTTTGCAGAAGAGAACATAAAAATAATTCATTTTCCAACAAATTTAAAAGGGCATTCTATATTAGGATGTATTTACGATGTGAGTGATTCAAGTTTATTGGGATTAATGGTGCACTATTTCACTGTAAAATCGAAAAAATGGCAGTAAATATCGTGACAATTGGATTTGGCCGTTGCAAGGAACATTACGTAGCACTACTTTAAGGCTACTAATCAAAGTGGACGAAAAATCTAATAAGGCAGCTTAGTACCTCTGATCTTAGAGCAGACAAGGCAATAATAAGATTACTTCTGCGCAAAATCATTCACTTACGAAAACTGGATTAGCTCTGCCCAACCAACTTGTTTTTACCTCAACGAATGACTTTTTAGTCCAGTTGCGTTCAATTTGAAGTAAAGTTCTAGTGCTACCTGAGCAACTCGCAAAGGGGAAATTACAAGGGAAATTAATGGGTAAGGTACAAGTAGTAGTTAACTTCAAAGCTATCTGCTTTTTATAAAACACAATTGTCCAAATGCCTAAGCACCCTCCGGTTCTTTTGGCTGTGCAGTAAAACACACACAAATTGATGATTCTTCCTCTCGAAAGTGCAATAGCACTTTTCCCAGATATAATTTTTTTTACTGAGTCTTCCTGAAAATCAAAAAATTGTAAAATATGTTCCCCGCTTTCGTGATTACGTTGAAAAAGCTATATCCGGAGAGTAGGTCTAGATGCAACCTAATGGCCCCAATCCCTCTAACTTTGAGAGATTAATGGTGAGCTCAGCCACTTATATAAAAAGAAAATGCATTAAGCTTTGAAAACAGTGTATTTTTAATAAATCTCTTGATAGTGCTGACAGGATCATGATTCGTAGCCTCGCGGCTATTCTCCACTTCATGTCCCTAGGGTTTGTGCCTATCAGTTCACACTGCTTTCAGTTGCTTTTTTAACCCAGATACAGTCTATTGTCCTTAAAATTAACAAAGAAATAATTGTAATAGTTAAAAAGTATTTTTAACTCATGATGAACGTTTTGAAAACAGGAACTCGAGCGTGAGTGCGCACTAGTACGAGGTGGGTGACATGTGGCCGCTCGTACTGGAAGCGGCAAAGTGATTTGGCCACCCACACCGTCGCTAAAGCAACAGCAGAGGTGAAGGGAGATAAGGTGAAGCTAGACGAGAGACCAGCGTGCGATCCGCACTCCCTCTCTCTTCGCATTCGTGCTGTGTTCGCTCACCCCGCTGCAGCTCACCCACACTGCCTGTGTATGCCCCCAGACGGGAACGGTCTCGTGTCAGATCGAGTGTTAATCCGGCCACTAGGTAAGGACCCCTTTGCCAAATCTAATCGGGAAATTCTTAACAAAAGGGAAAAAATTAAGTAACCAAGTCTGAAGGACTATGTCAATTGAACTCCTCCCAGAAATGGAGTTCAAATGTTCTCTCAAAAGAGGATTGGTTTTGGCAAATGTGAGGGATAAGTATTGTCTCGCACTTGTCGATCTGGAAGATTGAATAGTCAACAGTAATTCTTCACGATGAATGTCTGTGATTGCAACAGGCGTGGCAAACGATTGGCCAATGGGTTCGACAAACTTTAATCAAAATTCATATCCAGAGCTAAATAGATGAAATATGCATATCGTTGCAAAGAGTTAGTTCAGTTTACGCTACCTTCGTGGCTTATCGCACGATTCTGGCTTGACAGGAAAGGTAGAGATTCTTTGACCATCAAACTTGCTTTATTGCTTTGAGAATCACCAAATTTTGGGGTCCGTCTATCACAATTGCACCAGTGCGTGGCAAATCGGGAGAAAGAAGGGAGATTAAGGCCTAGGCAGGTAGGCAGGAAAGGCCCCCAAAAGGTCACTCAGCACAGGACAGATAATGGAAATAAATTTTGTGATAAATTTGAAGAGTAAAAACGGAAAATGCCTGTAAGGTGGGTAAGTGGAGAAAAGAGCTCTGCAGTTCGGTCTTTACTCAACCATGCTAAATGACATGTTTTTGAAAGGGAACCTTGTAGCTTTATTCAATGAATTTGTAATTGGACTAAAATATCTTCGCCTTTCTTTTATTTTTGCAAAATCCTTATTTTTAGTCTTGACTCGAACAGATTAGTAATCAAGCTTCGATTAAGAGTGTGCTTAAGTCGATTCTTTTATAATTTGTTGCAAATGTTCTACCTCGTTACCACTACTTTCATTTCAAACTTATCAAAAAATTAAGTTACTCTTTAAAATCAATTCAAGCAGTTATTTGCTTAGCTGTTTTCTTTTTTGAAAGTAGCACAACGTCTACAAAAGCTTCCTAACAGATGGCTTTCGATCACCGGTAGAGATGCCGTAAAAGGCGTGGACAATTTTCCTGGATAAACAGACTCCTAAATGGCACCACCTTAATCCGTAATGTCTAAACCATACCGACTAAAGCAAGGGCCCTAGAAAATCAGTGATTGCCTTTTTATTCGAAATTAAATGGGAACTGTTGTTTACGGTTTCGTTTTGCCCTCTCGGCCAAATATACCAGGGCTCTGGAACTTCACATTTTACTCATAAAAAGTAGCAGCTGATGCGTTTTATCAGTTGCCCTTGGACATGCATTTCTGTAAACTGGGTTCCAATCCTCGTACCATCCCAAAGTTTGCATTGAATAAGCAGGCACCAGGAGGTTAGCGATTCCTTTAATGAAGCACCCAAATTTAGCTAGTTTGTGGGACGACTTGGTCCTACCTAGTGATTCTCATTTTGATTGTGCATACTTTGACATGATAATTTATTGCTGTCAAGTTACATTTGAGGACAATTTGTGAGCAATTGACTGAAGAGTCTCAAATTAGCACCATCATTCAAATTACCAGCAAAGTATTCAAGTGGATGGCCTTGAAAACAATTAGCATGTTCAGATCAATTAATTTTTGGATATTTATATTAATATTTCAATACTGCTGGCAATTTTCTCTACTGAAGACGAAAGAAGATATAAGATCAGGGTAGAATATGCATTATCGAAGTATGGAAGATCTAGAAGAACCATAGGACATGCTAGCAAAACCAAAATGAGGAGTTAAACGACTAATCAAAGTGTTACATAACCGCTCTTTCCTTTGATCGTCGTCCTCGAGTCGGTGCTGTAAGAAAACACCCACGAGCCAACCTTGCCAGTCACCGAATTCGCGTGCAATTGGCAAATTTACTGGACCTGGGGTTTTGCCCCCTTAGAAACTGTATTGGGGGAAAGGGGGAATGTGCTGACCATCTCATACGCCCACCGGCTATTCGTAAGAACAGTAGTGTGCCTTCAGTTGTCAATAGCATTCCTGCAAAAATGGGATTGAATTTTTTGTCGAAAGTAGACGCCATCTTCAACTTTTATGTTAGGTATCGTTGCAGAATATGTCTTTCTTCCTTCATGTTAATGTTCTGCATTCATTAGTATAAGGCATTTGTCCTTCAGGATCGAGTTTACTTTCCGTTGGCACCAATGTGGCGACCCGAGGTTTCCCTGAAGACGAAAGATGTCATAATACCGGGGCGGGAATTGTATTGTCGATATACAGAATGACTGGAGGGTTGCTGGCATGCCGCCCGGCTGAAGTACAAGGGCGGAGCCTTAAACTCTCGTAAAGCGAAAACGAAGAGTTAAAAAAAGTAGTCAAAGTATCAAATTACCAAACCTGACACCTTTTTCTCTGAAAAAGATTTTAATGTGTTGAGTTCGAGTTAGTAGTGAGTGCTTGGAATCTGACACCAAAACCAGGTCGACAACACACGGCTGTCTTGATTGTTAGTCGAAATTGAGACGCAACAGAAATGCACGCTGTAAATTCACAAAAATAGACCCAAGAACCCGATTACATATCCTTCCGGTCTGTGAAATGGAAAGTCTTACCTCAGTAATTAGATGGACAAATCAAATTGAGTTCTTTATTCAGCTGGGAGTTTGCACACAAATGTAGAGCAGGACCCCTAGTGCTCTACAATGCGACTTCACATGATGGTTGTTTAGCAAGAAACGATGCTATATTTGCGTTAATGTCTTATTTACGTTCGTGTCTTGCCATTGACTAACAACTCTGTTGACTGAATACACTCGCCCTTCTACAAATTTGATATGTACCAGCTCTTCGTTAGCAAACTACATTGTTAAGACAAAACCTTCATCATTATTTCTAGGAACGCTTATCTAAGTGTGGTTTGTTTCCCATTTCTTTTATAAAATTTTCTTCTGACTTACTGTGTGATTTATAGTCATTAACAATTCTTGGAAAATGGCAATGTTCAAAGTTGTATCTGTGAGCAATTGTATCCACCTGGTCTCTGTGGTCTCGTTACGCTAATAAAGGAACATATCAATAATACAGTTTCTCTTTATCGTTTTCCAAGGCGAATTTTTATGCCCAAGCCTTTGACAACGTGTCCGATTGCACACAGCCGCAGTTGGAAACTTTAATAGGCAGCGTCTAGATGCTAGAAGCCCTAATAGCCCATTTAAGCCGAGCATTAAAATACAGTATCACTGGCAAAAAAGTGCGTTCTTATCAAGTTTAAGAGGCTGTGGTGAGATTGAGACCTGTAAGTCACTTCTGTGCTGATTAGACGTGTTGACAAAGTGACTAGCTCATTATTTGAATCTGGTAATATACAAAGTCCCTTTCTGGCAGAGGATATAAAAAGTCCTTACAAAATTATCACTTGACAATGCGTTTTAAAAGTAAATTGCCTGTGAAGTGGGACATTTAGTGAGTAATTGAAGTCTGTTTATGCTCTGTGGTCGAGTCGATTCGACATGTCTTGGGAGGCATTGTTTGAGTCAGCGATGACTAGGCTCGCTCCCTAATAAGACGAGTTGCCACTAGACCTGCAAAATAAACACCTGTAAATCAAATGTAATAGCTGGAAATTCGGTCAGATATGAATTTTTTGCTATTCATAACGAACTCTGATATCAAATTTAGCATGTTAGCAAGACGTCTACTGGTACTGCCAAAAAACAGTTTGTTTATTTACCATCGAGACACCGCCCCCTAATGCGTACTTTAATTCGGCAGGAAGCATACAAGTATTTACTCTCCACTGATATACGGATATCTCTATCCAGCAAAATTTGTGTCTTTCACGTCTAAATTTCCATTTCCACCGTAAAGTAGGACCTTTGGCAGTGAAGCATGAATAAAATGATGCAATTAAAAATCTGCATACCCTTGCACATATCTCTAAGGAGAGTCTGTTTCAAGCTAGCTTGGAGAAGCCTATAATTAGGATGAATATTAAAAGTGATATTTTTCCCGGATGACATTTTTAGGGCTTTTGATTAGAGTTTAACGAGAGATCCTCTCAGGGAATATATCTCTTATTCCCCTTTGCCATAAGGGACCAGAGGATGGAATATTCAGTTTGATGTATCATTTTGGCATGCATACACAAAATTAAGAATGGTTCTTTGACCACACAGAGGTTGCCATGCGCATGTGCAATTAATTAAACACAAGTGAGTGGAGCTTAATTACTGTTGCAGTATCGCTAACTGCTTGGAAATTCATCCAGGGATAGACTTTTGAGCCGTTGGTAAGCAGCCATGAACGTAGTAGAGTAGGGTGGATTATGAGCAACCTTCGAGTACTCCGACTTTACAGTTCCAGCGCGCAAATTTCTGTGCGAATTTATTTTTGCTTGCATAGATAAAGTTTTCCCATCAAACAGAAACAGTGAATAAAGTCTAAATTTTGTAGTATTCACCGATACAATGAGTAAAAGAAGACTTCGTCTGCCGATATTTCCCTATTGTGAAGTCAGATTCCCCTAGATTAACATTTGTTACTTGTCGTCTATAAGGAGGAGTAAAGAATGTGCCAGATGTTCCTTCTACTGGAACTTAAAATAATAACCGGACAATTACGGCCAGGAAGGCTGATGGTTGTGATTTAAAGCAGGTAGCTAGACTTTGCAAGTTTCCTGCAATATGATGGCTAGGTGATCGGTTGTAGTCTCTAATCAAAACTGCATTTACAATTGCAGTTTGATAGACATCATTGGGACCTAATTTAAATGTTTTCTTATTTTGTCCACATCATTTTTCATCTAATATTCTGATAGCCAAATCGATAAAAAGCCATTATATTGTGCCTTCACCGCTTTTGAACTTGTTCTAATTAGGTCTGTTTCACGGATAATTCGAAACCCTTGACATAATTGTATCCTACCTTACCTGACAATCAAATTTCATATAAATCATGGTTTAGCTTCGGATGTGATCATAATATGAATTCCAAGGTGGTATTACAGTAGATTTGTCTACACCACCTCCTAAGCAGCACAAACCACTTCATTCGCACATTTCCAAGACCTATAAGTCAAGTTAAACCCTCCAAGAGGAAACCCTAGTTGTTTTAAAAACTTTAAAATGTACCCACCCATCTGTCCAAAATTGGCGCTACTTACCTACCAAAATGCTTTTCCTAGGTTTTTTTGATCAGCGCAAAAGTTGGTTTTTTAAGAGAAGGCCGAAATATAAGAAACTACCTTAACTCCTTTAAACCCTTGCATGAAATAATACGTGTTTGGTTATGCAACGTCACGTTACCTTGCAGCATTGCCCTTTTATACAAAATCAAAAACAAAATACGACCTACTTTCCCCATCGCTATCATCATAAAGAAATTTCAGTACTGATTGAAAGATCCCACTAATAGGGCATCAAAGCTACCACATTCTTAATGGGAGCGGCGTAATTCTAGTGTACTTGCAAAGAAAATATGGCTTGTGTGGCTGCTCCTTCGAAGGGGTGAGGGAAGAGTAAGAACCTTTTATGGAACCGAGGTCCTCGATGAGCTTATACAAGTTAATCCCAATTTATAGGAATGAGAGGCAGGCGTCTGGCAACTAGAGCAGACCCCAAAGACGATAGCGGTCTTCTGTCCTCTCGCCTTGTTCATTCATCCTTTCGTTCGGTCCCACAGTTGCGCGAGGCTCACACACGAAGACAGACCAGTGGGTAAGTGGACACGGTCCCAAATAAGTTCACGGAACAGGGGCAACGATGTCGGGGGTAAACAGGAAACGGTCATGTAGGTCTCTTCCGGGTTCCAGCGGGCAGAAGTGAAATAACAATTGAAAAGTCGTAACAGTGTGCTCGATTTTAATTCAGTACAATATTTTAGTACTACATATACACAGCAACAAGTATTCCCGAAGACGGGAGTTAAAATTTCATGTGTATTTTGTGTCTCTGCAAGGCGCCAATGCGTTGAATAATGTATTTGGGTGGGTCCACTAGATTTCCATTCTATTCCTATTATTCGCCTTTTAATACAGTATTTGTGAGCGGATTCTTTTAAAGCATTATTTTGCTTAAGCATCACTTTATGAGTTCGATTGTGCACTGCGCAAACGAGAGCCCACTTAGATTGCCGTTAAGTAATGTCTAGAAGCAGCCGCCTCCTCAAATGAAAACTTTACAGTAGTCTGATTTATGAGTGTGGCGTGGTCCATCTAATCGCAGTAGATGTGGAAAACCCCGTGACAAACGCCCTGTGCTACTTGATTGACGTGATTGTTTTAAAAGGCCTTTGCTAGGTAGGAGAACTGGAAAAAAAAACATCTGATAGGAATTTCGCTTTTTTACATCAATTATTAATGTACCTCCTCAGTGAGCTTTGTAATTCCGTGATTTGGTAAGTATCTATTAATTCACCTCATATTTTACCTCCAAGCATTCTTATTAATTGCCTTCTCTTCATACCACAGGAAACTTCCAGATAAGTAGATTTTGAAAATGAGGAACCAGCAAGACCTAATATTTCGGTTGAACTAAAATCTATTTTGATACCTTGCACCAGTTACGGGTTACTACACAATTAGAGAATCGCATAAAAACACTTAATTTTTATTGAATAATGTTTTAATGGCCATTTTATCTGCCAGAATACACTACCAGCCCACAGAGTACCGTTAGCAGGGTTTTAATCACTTTTATGCGCCCGCCATGACCTGAGACACTACGCAGCACTCAAAAATGAATGATGCTAGGGCTGTAAACTGTTTGACAATCAATTGGATTTTGTCTAATTCAACATGACACCGAAAATCCCGACGAAATGCAAACTATTTTGCACTTTCTCTCGTTATCAAGTTCCTTCTCGTAATTCCTTCTCCAATCGGCTTAAAATTATTTACCTCTTAGGTAGTCAATTACCCCACAAAAGTGTAAGGATTTCAATACCAAATAACAAGAATTTGTTTCTTTATGGCTGCTAAAGTATGTTAGCCTTAAATTGATTGGTGATCTAACAAAGGCTCACGGTTGTCTCCGACTCGGCTGTAATGCTGTCATCGGTAGACCTAAATCAAACACATGCAAATTTTGTGTGCACCGAGGTGCGCAGCCATACGTAGTCGCTGTGTTTTAACCCCATTCTTGGGGGTATTTCACCGACATCCACTTACCAAAATCGAAAACATGGGCTTTAAAATATGTGCCAGTCATCGTCGAATAATTTGTTCTTTAAAAAAAGTTGGAAAAAGAATTAGCTCTGACAAAAACGCATCCGTTATTTAGTCACTAATACCCATACTTAGGTGGAATAGGGGTATAGGACAAAATTAGACCCATCTTTGTGCAAATTTATTCACTTTTTAATGCAACTCAAGGGTATTATCGAAGAACTAAAATATGTTATTGCGGTGGACATCCTGAAAATCACACTCGTTAAATGTGTATATTCTAGCATGAAAGGAAGGCGAAGTAATATAGGTAGTTATAGTTAAACTTGATAATACTTATATTCAGATTCCAAACTGGTGTTGACAATTGGTTGCTGGACATTCTTCCCCAATAATTATTTGGGGAATAATTTATATGCAACAATACCAACAAAACAAACTACGGTGAGTTTGCTGATACACCTCGACCAAAACATTATGCACTCAGACGACAAGGCAGCAGAAATTGCGTTAGTGATTGAGAGTTGCCACCACTACTGACCTTGGGCCTCCTGCTTTTAAGTATGGGCATCTCACCATCCAGTATCTGCTCTTTGTGGAATCTTCAGAATATGCAGAACCACATTACTGCAATCAATGACCAGTACTTTAGGCAAGTAATGGTCTGTTTAACTAGACACGACATTGCAAGTTAATACTCTTTCTAGGTATAGATTTATGAGAGTAAGTTGAACGCAAAAGGCACACAAAATGACCCTGTGTGTTTGGTCTCGGTCGGAAATCTACCTTTATATCCTAGACTACACAACTTTAATAGGATATTTGAGCGAGAAACCTTGAACTAATCTATTTTTCATTGCTTTGTTTGCCTTTCATCTTATCGAACTTGCAATTCTTGTATTTGGACAAGTGCTTTCAACGTTCGGTTCTATTAAACCGAATAGACCCATGAACTCATTCTCAGTAGTCACCCATGAACAGTGAACACCAAAGCGACTCCATACGCTCGAAAATCCCACTGGGTTGGCTCTGATGTGATGACATGCTAGAAGCACAAAATTTCAGCGTGGTCATATTTGAGCGGAAACCAGTATTAATCTGATATAGGAATATCAAGTTCGTAACACCCGGGTTAGTTCTAGCAAGATGTCTTTTATGTTTAGCAACTTTCCTATTAATTTTCCAAATATATTTACATGACATCCATAATAAGAGATTTTAGGGTCCAAAAGCCTTTAATTGGCCGCTCTGTAAGAAGAGCGCACACTAGCAATAAGAACACTTCGTTAAATAACTACGCAGTTCTACCGTGCATTTAATGCCATATACTTTGTGCTTGAAGCAAGACAAAACGCGCTCCGACGGGATGACGATGAATTGGAAATGAAAGGAAGCATGCTTTCACTACCACGCCCATAGCGTCTGCAGACAAACGGCTGCTTGTTTATTGGTCAGTTGCAGCTGTGGTTCTGTACAGTTATTGGACAAGCCACTTATGAGTACCAGCCAATAGTGAAGGCACATGACTGTCTGCCAATTAACTGTCTCCAATGAGGCCAAGCATGTGTGGAGGTCCTGACACGATCTCATTCCGTCACATGCAAGCCCCCGATTCGGGTTCGGGTTCCCCTTCACGCCTTCTTGGATCAGGGATCTATTGCTGATCAGGGATACTATCTTCTTCCCAAACGGGTAAGATGCTTCAACCATATATTTAACATTTTTCTCACCGCCAACACGTGCTCGTTAGATTAAAATTGAGCAAAACTGGAGTGGCAGCTTAGATAATCTTGGGCAAATTTCATCCTAAACATTTGTCTTTCTCAGTGGCGGTTAAATATTCAGTCGACTCCCTCACATTAGACTTGGGTTATTTGTTTAGCAATGCGGTCATACAAGCAGGTGGATTGGCTTATTTCCCGGTTTTACTTATAGCCATTTCACTAACTACTGGAGCGACAATGTGTGCACGTGGGTCCACAACTACCTGTGGTCAATTATGGAAGATTGTTGCTTCAGCTTCTCTGTTTTTGATTCTCTTTCCTGCTGCATAAAAGTTTAACAACACTAGCAGTGTTCCCCATCTTTCCGTCTGTAAAGTGTGTGACTCATGTGACTTACTTCGTTGTTTCGAGTTTCCGTGCACTTTAGTCTGCATTTCCTTCCCCTCATTTTAATTAGTGATTCCCTTCTAGGAAGTATTCGTGGTACTCCTCGGCTTGTCTCTATGCTTGTTGAAGTTGCTATCCGCCTGAGCCTTATAAACATTTCCCTGCCTGTCATGTAATACATGAGATTTGCTTGAGACGTAGAGGGATTTTTCCACAGAATTTCTGGTTTGTGGAGACATTCTAATCTTAAAGGGAAAATGCGCACCGCAATATATTCCACGCACTGTGTGCACCTTTGTATTCGAGACGAAGACCGTCGTTCCCTAGCAAGACTTGATTAGCTTCAATTAATTTGGTTTAACCTAAAATGACTTGATTAAATTTAATTTGTTGGGCGTTTAGGATTTTACTGAGGTGCCACGTTTATGGCTTCTGGGGTCGGTTTTTAGGGGGAATTAGCAATTCTGTTTCGCACTCTTTGACCTCGGTTTTTTGATAAAGCTGTTAAGGTAATTAATCCTGCGGCTATCGCGTTTAACTGGATCCATGGAAGGTGTGACACTCTTGAGTACACGCAGAAATTAACCACTAATTGGAGTATCTCCTCCCTTGCTCTTCTCGCTTCTGCACGTTAACCACACCACTTTATTATGCTCACGGTGATCAATTCAGTTGTAAACCAAGGAACATCAAAATGCTTTCCCTATTGCTGTGCTATTATTCTTCCTAGTGGTTCACTTGCGCGCGTAGGTGGTGTCTATCTGAACTCTACCGATTTTTCTGACAACACTTTTAAACGCCATTGTGCGTAGCTTTGTTTCTTCCAAATCGAATTGGCCGCGAAAGGTCATAAGTAAGCAATTTTCCTCGCTGATAACTGGTGCACTTACAAACTCTTGATTATGCGATTTCATTCATCAGGTATCTGAACTGGCTGAAAAGACTGTTGGAATTGGGATAAAGTACAATCCTGTACCGTAAGTTTAGTTCTAACAGTCTGCAAGCATCGATTTGATGGTCTCGCATTGCTTATGCTCCGCTGTAGCGTGGATTTTGCTGTCAATGAGTGGAGAGAACTCTCTAGTTTGAGCACAAGCTTTTTTTGCAAATGCCACTGCCGTTATGTGTAGCATCAAATGTTCTCTGCCGAAAACGCACTTTCTCTTATGCATTTTTTCACCACCAGCAAATTTTTAGGTTTTATTAGTAGCGTCTTCTTTCGCCACATTAAGTGACTGAACCAATTGGATATTAAAACTGCGCATGCCATACATTGGTACGTTAGCCAATAGTAAATAGGCGGTCCAAGTGATTGAACTGTGATTATCCATCCACCCGAAATCCTCAGTTGAAGCTCGTTTATGACTTAGCTGGATTTACGAGGGCCTGTGGTGGAGGCTGGCGTGTGTGCGCAAAAGTCAACGCAATGTGGGGCTTAGATACCAGGCCGTCCGCCCCTTCGCTTGCAGCGGGACATTTGCGCAGCTGTTTCCACTCTTTGTTAAGGTGTCTTTTTTTTTTCTCTTCTTCTCCCCATCAATCCATTCCTCCCCTTCCTTTCCCTCATCTAGAGGGGAAGAAAAGGAAAAAAATCGTGGGACTTTTGAAAAAGTGCTGAGACAAACAAGGACTCAAGGGTAAGAGAGGAAGCGGAGCAGATGGGGATCATCCACCTTACCCAGTCTAACAAGTTTGCCGTACTTCGGTGACAATAAAAGGTTGGCATAGCTTAGGTACGAGGGTAGCTAAAAAACGTGGTTACTAAAAGTTAAGCGCATGTCGTGAATACCGCTTTCTGCCCCTTTTTTTTCTCCCCAAACGTCATAAAACTATTGTGCTTTCTTCCTCACGTACTACCCTTATTTACCTTTATGCTATTTCTGCTCGTTCTCGCTCACAGAAGCCTAGAGCAGGCGATTCAGTGGTCAGTGTTCTCAATACTGTTTCTTCATCGGAAGGTAGAATTCACCGTCCTAAATCAGGTAACTGGAGCAATTTGTGTTTGTTCGGCTCCCAGACGGACTGGTGTGGTGTGGTCAGTAGTCGGTTTCTAAAACCGGACTGTTTAGTCACGAGATAGGACAAAGGGAGGTCGAGGATGGGAGAGGGTGGTGAGGTGTACCACCGAAACGCCAGAGCGGAGCTGAGCCGGTCCATGTGCGCGAATGCTCGCACAAAATCGCACGGGGATCTGATGCGCAGATGGGGTTTTGTTTACTACGTCTACTTTTGTGACAAACTAATCGAAGTTGGAAGGCCCGGTGATTAACGAGCGCGCTTTCAATGGTCAGAGGGGTAGCGGAGACTCTCATGGGCCGCCGATTCGTGGCAATGCTTCGGTTCAATGCATAGTACCCCAAAATGTACACTTTCACCTTTTCGACCGGTGTTCTCTCAGTGTGCCTCTGGTCTTCCTTACAAGCAATTGTTTGCCTAAGGTTTGTCATTTAAAACAATCCATTTAAAAGAAATTGTTGTCATTTGTCACCCTCTAATGGTCATTAATCTCCGTAAATACAGCACCCAACCTTTAATGTACAACTAGCCAACCGCGGCGAGACCGTTAGAAATTCTCATTAGAATAGACGACTTTTACGGCTTCGCTAATGGGAATCCGTTAAATTTGCCTTTATAATCTGCTGTATAGCAGCTGCCCTCTCTTTGTCATTCCCCGTTCTCGACCGCTTTCTAATTAATCAATTTTAAAGTTTGTACCCTCCTCTCGCATACCTGCAAATGCGCGTATTTTCTTCTAATCCGGTAGAAGTGGCTGTCTGGACTAACTTATCAAAAACGTCAGTGGATAATTGCTCTAAAATTGGTGGTAGTTGTTTTGGTAACTCAATAATTGTTAATGCACGGTAGTCCTCATTTATGGTCATTTCGTGAGGCTGAGGTTGATACCTAGTCCAGTACTGTGTATTATGGTTTCTTGTGAGCTTCGACAGTCACATCACTCGCAAACGGGGTCTATCGTCTTTCGTGCAGCCTTAACAGGGATGTTGAACATTTAATTCTTGATCATCTTAGTTGATGCAAGGTCCCCGAGAAGCGAAATGTCACTGGAAAAGGGTAAATTGACCCCATGGACGAGGAACGGGTGGCAGAAAGCAGATAATTGATTAAATGGGTCCCTAATGTGTGATGCTCATACTTCGTTTGTGCGCAAGGGTGAAGTGACGTGAGTTTATGCATGTCGACACGTGTCCCGGTGATCCTACTTCCATCACTTCACGCTGCTCCTTACCCGTTTCATCTAGAGGGTGGCGTTTACTCAGTAGGGCAAATTCGTGTCGGGAGAAGCCGGGTCGATGAGACCGGGATGCAGGGTCAAATGGCCATTTACGCGTATAATTCCCCGGCCGGGGTGGGTTCCAAATCCCAAATCGATGAGTGGGGGGTGGGGAGTGGGGAGGTGTAAGAGGGAAGGCAGGTGTCACTGGTACCTCTTTTTGAAGTGGTAGATGTCCACGCGTGCGCGGTTACGTGTACGTCTGTACCTCCGCCGCTGCAACTAGGTGTACGTAGGTGTGGCTGCGTGCACAGTTCCACCGGAGGTGTGGATATTCTCGTG